ATTAGGAGAAGAACGTGGGAGCAGCTTACCTCTTTTGACCTCTTCCATCTATACTACTACATTGCGTGGGAGCAGCACTATACCAGCTTTTCAAGAAAAGCTTACCTCTTCTGACCTCTTCCATCTATACTACTACATTTTAGTAATCTGGAGAAGGAAGAAGCATACTTCATGTTGCAATAGTAAGGTAATTATTTCCTACAATTATCAATGTTCTTCAAGCAAACATTTGCATTTTCAAAACTCGTGAACTTGTGTACCTCATGACAAACAGTTAGCATTTAAAATAGTTCAAAGAATACTTTCCATCAAAATGATGGCCTTTATATTATTGAACTGAGATGAGGAAAAAACACATAAAGCAGTTCAGTCGGATAGTCTACCTTCTCCTGCTTATTATCTTTAAATCTTATGTGGTCATCTTTGGCTGCAAATCAGTAGGAGAGGCAAAGTTACTCTCTACTTGGTTCTAAATATAGTCTTATCAAATATTTAAACCAGTTATATTATCTCTAACATAAGGAAACTCTGAACTTACTGCTGCAAGATTTCGTTACTAAATAAAGAAGACTTAAAGAAACAAGATACTTAAAATGGCAATAAGCAAAAGCAGTAATAATAACTCAATACTTACCCAAGGTTAGAGTCCTTCCTTTATCTTACTTTCAGAGGAGTCTTATCAGCCACAAAGTGCGTGGTGCTCTTATCTGATCATACAAACTGACACAAACCTCACGCATTACATATTGAGGTGCTAGAATCAGGCCTCTCAGCTGGCTGGAGGAGGATGCCAGAAATTATAGCCTCCATCATACCAAAAGACTGGTATTACTGTAGAGACTTCTCAGATCTGCTACTCTCACGGAGCATGACTTGGCAAGACTGAAGCTAAAATAATTTATCCAGTAGAAGAACTTTAAGCCACCCTTGGGGCATTTCCAAGACATTTAAGGAGACAGGTAAACATCAGACTTTACAGTCATCAGGGAATCACAGAATAATTCTGTTTGAAAGGGACTTCTGGAGGTCATTTAGTCCACCTCCCTATTGAAAGCAGGGACAAATTCAGTCAGACCCAACTTCAAAGTTATATCAGGTTGCACAGTATCTTAAATAGCAACTTTGAAGCAGTACAGCTTTTGGTTTTGTATCCACCTTCAGGTAAAATATTGGGAAGGATTATTAAATAGAACAACATGTAAGAAAACAAAACTAAAGAAACATTTTGTCAATTCCTCCTTCTGTTTAACTCCTTTCTTCAGACTGAACAAAATTGCACTTATTCCTCCTATGTTATTTTCCAGAAAACTCAGCCTTGCTGAGCTTTTTTACAAACATGTGTCAATGTCAACTCAGAGCAATGATCCAGATCTCCTAATGAGGAAGCTGCTTTTGGGCTCGCAATTCCCCTTGGAAGAACTGCCTAGATCCAAAGTATGCAAATACCATCCAAGACTATTGAGCCATGTTAATTCAGATATCTGCAGCTAATGTATAATTAAGGTTAAACCCTTCAAATGCTACCAAATGAGCAGCCTATAGATGCTTTTACATTTTAAGAAAAAATTAGAACAGAATTATAAGCATAAAACTAGATTTGTTTTAATGCACTATGCTGTAATTTAAGCTTACCTTTATGGTTTACTCACTACTAAGTTTAAATGGGCAGAGACCCTGTTGCATTTCTGTCCTTGAGATAATTCATGGACAGATTTGTAAGACTATAATTTTATTAAAGAAAAGTAAACGTTGCATAAAAACACATAGTTTAAGTTCCAAAAATCATATATCCCCCATAAAACAGAATGAATACGGTTAATTGGTGTGTATTACATAAGTATTTTTATATGCACTATTTACACAACAACTGAAATGCTCTCAATGGAGTCATTCTGCTCTATCAATAACATAGGCACACATTTAGGCCAAAATACATATTGTTTACCTGACACATCAGATTCTGTAGTACCCTTTAAGTTTGACATATCAGATACATGCATCTTTGATTTAGAGAACCACCATAGCTGCAATCTATTGTATATATTCAAATTTGCTAAGTTCTGTAGGTATAAGACAAATACCTGTACAGATACAGACACACCGTGCAGTTGTTCATAAAATGCATTTAATTTTAGGCAGATACAGTGCAAAGTATGCATATTCCTACATAACTTCTAACCTCTGATAAATCTGTAAATGAAAAAAAAATCAGCTTAAAGACATCAAACCATGAGTTTTAAATAAAATAGATTTAAAATAGACAACTTGTGCGTTAGTCAAGGCAACCTTTTATTACAGAAAATAATATTACTCCAAGACAGCTGATTGAACTGTAAAGTAACATCACCGGATTTTATGATTTCATCACAAACTGTGATGAAATTGTTGATTTTGTTAAATTTCTAGCTCCTGAAGTTGATATTAATGAGAACTTCAGAGTTTCATCAAGAGAGAGAGAAAGGGATATGCAAGAATACCTTGATAGTTCCAGTGACTGCCTGGTAAAAATTGTAAGTATGATTGAAATAAATTCTAAAAAATAAGAAATCAAATGACAATCTGATCTTTCATACCCTCGAGATACTTATAAATAATTCTAAGTATTCGAATGGTGATTTTATGAAGTACTTGCACAACTTTAAAAGCACTAGGAGAGCACAGAATTTCTTGAAATCTATAGAAAGAGCCCTCAAAAGGGTGAATGAATGAATGCAAGAACATATACTCTAAGCAATACTCAAGGAAACTGAGGATTATTTTATGTTACAGCCAATGGAATAATCTTATATCCATTTCCTTCTGCTCTACACTACTGAGTTGCCCTTTTGATGGCAGTCAGGGGTCCTACATCTAATTACAATAAAGGTTTTTAATTAAACACTGAATATGCTTTAGCAGCTTCCAGTATGAGCTTGCCCTTGATGGTGCCACTTGAGGTGCTCTCCTTCAAGAGAGAACGAAGTAAGTGTCTTAAAACCTTGGGTGAAAATGCCTTTTTCCCCTGTATACCACTGCTTTTCACAGCCAGCTAGCTACAAAGCTGCTTGTGTTGCTATCAGGCTAACAGAGCTTTCCCTGTGGGAACTCTCCACTATCTCCAAAATATACTGCTTGCTATATTCTTGAAGTAGTAAGAAAGTGCACTTAAAATATTAAGCAAGCACACAAAATGGTCTGGAATATAAGCCCCATCCAACTTGGTAAATTTACTGGGAGCCACTGACTTTAATGGGAATTGTAACACACTTGGAGGAGGAGGGGTGGGAAGAACAGTGTAGTTTCTCGTATTTCAGGTCTCCTCAGCATGCAGAATTATATGCCAAACGTGGGGAAAATGAAGGGTTTATTCAACTCACTTCAAATGAAACAATAATTGACTTCTTTTGCAGCAGCTTGTGAAACCTAGCTCCACTAGACTGAAAAAGTATCTCAGGAAAATGAGCAAGGCTCATTCAGAGAACTTGAATAAAACTGAATAATCAGAAATGATTTCAAGAATGTTTTCACAGGATACTTCTCTAGAAGGAAAATCTAACATGCACTATCCAACAAAGGTACATTTTTATTTCTCTATACAACCTCACCCATTCATCTTTTACCTTTTCCATACACAGGTGACGAACAAAGCAGTGACAGAGATTACTTGCTTTCTGTGCTGCTCTGTAAGCTGTCCTGCTTTTCTTAATGTCCCACTTTTGCGTGTGTGTGTAGGAAGAGGTGGGGGGAAATAGAAAGACAGCTTAGGGTGGTGGGGGAGAGGATTTGAAGCAGGTTCTCATCCAAGCCATCTGAAAAGTCTTTTTGCAATCAAGGGGATACTATTTCAGGAGACAGAGGGAAGGGGCAAAGGATTCACGTTGCTAAGGAGACACATAGAAGCTGACATTCCTACATAAATTTCCATTTATACAGAGAAAAGAAAAGAAAGCTCTCCAAAGTTTGTTTAGATACCCTGGTAACTGATTGACGCTGACATTTCTTTGCCATTCATTCTGGCATTATGCGACTTAAAGCGAAATCCCCAACAACAAGTGAAACCTCCAAATATTACCCCACACAGTGGCAGAAAAATAACAGCAGCAGCAAAGGCACCTCTGCAATTCGCTTCAAGCAGAGATCGGTTATTTCACAGTACCTATAACACGATTTCAGAGAGGCCAGGGAAAAGAAAGCCTTCAGGAGGCAGAGTAAACCCCTTGCCCAAAATGAGCACCTCGTCGCCACACAATTTACTGTCATGTCCTGATGAGCACAGCGATCCAAATGGATGATTTAGCAGCGCATGTGTGTGGGGAAAAGATGAACTGGGGGTGGAAAGACTGATTTCATTTGTAAATGTTTCTTTCAGGACTCCAGAAGTTGCAGGGAAGCAAGGAGGCAGACAAAATAACCCACCAAAACTAGGGCAAACCCCCACTACCAGAGCACCTATAGAGAAATATTCAACAGGCAGCTCGCTTATGTCATTCAACCCCAGTTTTCTGCAGAGCCCAGATAATACCGAAACAGCCATCTCGGGAATTATTTATGATCAGAGCCACAGGAAAGCCGAAGAGCGACCGCACACCGGGGCATCAAGGCAAAGGAGCACCAGAAGACAGCAGGGAACATCAGCACCGGCAAGGGAAAGCTGTGCAACCACCCACAGCCCGGACAGAGAGGGCTGCAACCCCGATTTCGCCACCACTTGGGCCAAAGCGACACGTTTCTGGCTAGTGAACCCCAACTTCTTAAGCAAGTTCATCGGGCTCCTCATTTTGGAAGAGGGCGGTGGTGGGGAGCGAGCGGGGAGATCCTGCAGTCCCTAGGAGTATCTCATTATAGGAGAACAAAGCCCCGGGGAACAAGAACAAGAAAAGAGAACAAACGAGTAAACACCAGAAGCCCAAACCGAGGGTGTCCCGGGGAGCAGCGCGGGGGCAGCCCCTCCGGGCAGCCGGGACGCCGGGGGCCAGGGCCGGGCGGACGGAGGGAGATGGCGGCGCTCGGGGGTCGCTCACCGCTGTGCAGCGTCGACTCGCAGAGCCAGCTGTCCAGGGCGCCGGGCTTGCGGCACGACTCCCACAGGGACAGGTAGTACTGGTGCTCCGCCGTGACCCACGCGGGGCTCAGCACGGCTCCCAGGTCCAGGCAGAGCGCCAGGAAGATGCACACCAGCCCCACCAGCTGCAGCAGCGTCAGCACCGACACCCGCACCTCCTC